AATGTTTATTCCTGTATTGCCATTTTCATTCTCACAGCCTCATATGGTTTTTCGTTTCACACATTTACGTTTTACACTCGCTGATAAGATTAAAGTGACAATTTAATCTATTTCAAAAACATTGCTATTTTTGATTTCATTGAACACTCTATATTTGCAATGACAACCGAGTATTCCAAAATAAATACAAAATCAACTTTTATACAAATATAAGTGAGCAAGTTTTTTTTTATTTTAGTAGTCAGTGCCGCCATAATACAGGTGGTCTTCTTTGATCATGTCAGCGCCCTTTTCCGCGATGGCAATCGTCGGCGCATTGGTGTTTCCGCTCACGATGTACGGCATTCTGAAAATGAGAATTTCGTATTAGAATTTATTGGATTTTGGATTTGGAATTGGAGTTTAACGATTATCAGCTTGATTTAGCAAATGAATTGGTGTAAAATCAAAATTTCTTTCATCGAATGTACAAAGCTGACTTATTTTACGGAAATCTTACATGCTCGTATCAATCACACGCAAATTGTTGATCCCATGTACTCGCAAGCGTGGATCGACGACAGCCAATGGATCATTTGAAGGTCCCATTTTGCACGTTCCGGACGGGTGATAGATTGTTTGTGAATAGTGCCGTGCCTGGCATCGCCAAAAATCATCACTTAAAAACTCTAATCCACTGCAGTTTGGAATCACGCCCGGATTCAATGTTGCGTTTAACGCGCGGAAAATACTGGTTTTTGTCACTTCATATCCGAATTTCGATCCTTCAATCTAATGAGATTAAAAAAAATCAATTTTAAATGAAAGATTGACAAAGCAAAAGCAAAAGCAAAAAGAAACAAATAAAATAAAATTTCGAAAAATTTGAAGGGAAAAAACAAACTTGAAAAATCAACCAAACATATATTTTTTTTTAAATTCTGTTCAACTCACCAAAACGTCAATATCTTTGGGATCGTCAAAATAATTGGCATGTATAATGGGATATTCCATTGGATCGGCGCTCTTTAATAGAATTTTACCTCGTGATTCGGGTCTCAATAAAAGCGGAATGATAGCAAAGCTATCCCTGTAGATCGCATGTTCATAGACTTGTGAATAATATTCATAAGTGACTCCGGCTCCGCGACGACTGAATAAACCACCATCAGCAACGTCCGAATAAGATGCAAAAAATATTTGCAAATCGGGCCAATCAACGCTTGGATCTTGATACTTTGAACTAATATAGGCCATAGTTTCAGCGGAGCCCATAGCATACAATGGTCCCTCTGAATTGAATACGAAATTTCGAATGGTTTCTGGATTCGCGAATTTCGCCACACTTAATGAAAGTTGTTCATCTGAGAATGGATTTTGAATTAAGTAAAAAACGCCACCCATTGCAACATGATCTTGTAGATTTTCGCCAACACCCGGTGAATCTTTGATCACATCAATCCCCAGATCGTACAAATGTGGTGCGGGTCCGACACCAGATAGCATTAGCAATTGCGGCGATTGAATGGCGCCCGCCGATAAAATCGTCTCTCTTGTTGAATGCACTTCAAACAGTTGGTTTTCACGTTGAAATTGTACGCCGTAAGCGCTACGTGTAATCGGATCGATAAGAATTTTCTGAACGAACGAATTCAACGAAATGTGCAAATTGGGCCGATTACGTGCCGGTCTTAAAAATGCTTTGTTCGTGCTACATCTCAAGCCATTTCGAATTGTTCCCTGCGTTTGAGTTATTCCCGTTTGAGTTTTTCCATTTACATCGTTATCTTCATTGACCAAACCCAACTCTTCAAACGCCGCTATTGAGATATCACCAATAGGTGTTATTGCGTGAAACGGTTCGACGGTTAAATAACCATTGGTACCATGATATGGACTTTTGGATAACACTGGATCACGCATATCTTCGGATTTCTTGAAATAATACAACATTGTCTCATAATCCCAACCAGGATTGCCCAGACTTGCCCATCGATCGTAGTCATTCCGATTGCCACGCACGTACATCCTAAAATTAAACGGTAGAAAAATAGTTCAAGGTTTTTGAAAAGCGAAATACACTCAGCGATTCACAAGTCGTGTAATGAGAATAGTGAGTGTGGTAAGAAGTTGACTTGCATGGCGTTCAAAACGCTGGATCCACCAAGCACCTTGCCCCTTGGCCAGTTACAAATTCCATCCATTGCTAAGCAGTAGCGATCCGATTGTACTGTTTCAAATTCCCAGTCGAGATGCGAATGCTGCAGCGTGGGATAGAGAAGTGGCACCTCTACAAAGGAAAACACCAGCATTTAGCACACAAAAAAATCATTTCAAACTTTATTTCCCCAAAAAAACCTGATAGCAACGATTCATCGGGCCCTGCTTCAATAAGTAACACTGTCCACGATTCAATTTCCGACAATCTTGACGCAATCACAGCACCTACAAATGAAACCGAATTTTACAAATGATTGACCGCCGCTTTTTTCTTCATTTTTTCGGGTAAAACCTGCACTTCCACCCCCAATTACAACGAAGTCGTAGGATTCCAATAGTTCACTAGTGTCAACATTGCGCACTCGATTGTTTATATCGACAATATCCGGTCGTCGCACACGAATCGCTTCATGCAGAAATAATAGAAACGCTAATCCCGGTCCATACGACACAAATATACGCAAATGTGAGTACACTTCAGCCAACAACGCCATTTTCGTTCACAGTTGAAAAATATTTATGCGATGATCATTACAGTTCGGTTACCACTCACTGACTGGCATACCTTTGGTAAATTAATTTCGATTGGAGCAAACGAACAATTACGGGTATGCGAGTGCGGCAAAATTCCAGACAAAAAATTGCATATGTCCAATTTTAATCCAACTCATCGATGTTGTTTACATTAAAATTTGCCTGATGATGTACTAATTTCCATGCCAAAGTCTTTGTGCATTTCATTGAGTCGGCTGAAATGTGTCACAAAAAATGCCACATTCTTTCCAAAACGAAAGTTCTGGAAACTCGAAGCCATTTTTAGTTTACGCGTACGGATTTCAATTCAGCAGTTTACCTCATCAAAAAAACATGCAGCAAAACAATGGGTTTAATATATATTATTTGAGATTGTTTTTTATTCATTTGTTACACATGCCTTAATGTTGAGATAAATATAGACTCGTTTCGGTCAAATGTTGAGCTCAAATACACTCGCATACAAAGTCCTTTACTTTAAACTCATTTACAAACTCCTTATTTTCAATGCCTTTGTATTTATTTCATTTTTACTTCTTTCAATTGAATATTCGTTGTTTGTCATTTGTTTAATTAATATCACAATTACATTATTCTACTTATTTACTTAACGGCTATTTTGTAATTTAAAAAAAAAGTAGAGCAAATTTTGAGAGCGGTTCAAAAATTCTACAAATCGACGGTCTATTTGAATAGTTTGTTGGTTTGTAAATCCAAAATAGAAAGAAAAATACGTGAAAATAAATTAGTTCAACGGAAATTTGTCATTCGTTCTTCGGTGCGTGGGAATTCCTTTAAAATTGGGTAAATTATTCAGGGTAAATACGCACGAACAAAATACCGTTTTGATGTGATCATTTTATTTGAAACCGGCCGTTATTTGATGGATCCAATAATCTTTGATCATATCAGCACCTTTCTCGCCTATCATCATGGCCTGATTTTTGAAGAAAAAGAAGAAGATGCACGAAATTAGCGAAAATGAAAGGAAAAAGTCGAAAGTGAACCAAATGAAAAGAAAGAAAAAACACTTACGGGTGCATTTGTGTTTGCTCCAACAAGTTTGGGCACTGCAAAAGAAGACACAAAATATTTAGCATTTAAAATCGAAAGGTTAAAAAAGTTCCAAGCTATTAGCCCGAAATTGGTTGTTAATTCGAATGTGAATTCAAGCAATTAAATCAAATTTCCATAAATTTAAATTCAAACTGGTAACGGTACTCACTGATAGATGCGTCAATGACACGCAATCCTCGAACACCATACACTCGTAGCTCTGGATCGACAACAGCGGTTGGATCCCAATACGGTCCCATTTTACAGGTACCAACCGGATGGTAAACGGTTGCCGAGTACTGTCGAATCATGCACTTCCAGAAATCGTCCGTGAACATTTTCATTTGATTGCATCCAGGCCATTTGTACGCAACCAATTTCGAACCAAAGCGTTGCATTGAATGTGTCTGTGAAACGGCCACCGCAATTTTGACACCTTCAACGAGCGTGTTCATATCCGATTCATCGAAGAAGTAATTCGGATAGATGTACGGATAGTCAAATGGATTGCGGCTTCTCAACCGAATCGTACCGGTGCTATTTGGGCGAAGTAACATTGGCAAAATACTCCAGGTGTCACGGTTGTTATAAGGTGCAAAAACAGCATCGTAGAATTTTTGGGTTAGTCCATGTGCTTTTCGCAGTTGATTTCCTCCATCCGAGTTTGTGCTACCCGAGACAAAGTGGAATTCAATGTCTGGCACATCTTCGCTAGCGTTTGCGTATTTCGTTTTGACAAACGCCAATCCCTCAACTCCGCCTAAAATAGTCAATGGGCCTTCGCCAAAAACGGCATATTGCAAAACGGTCGACACTGATTGAACCCGGCTTTCAACGATAGACACCTGCATACAAACGAAAATAAATTCGGTTCAAAAATCTTGATAATTCTCTCTAAGAAGAATGAACGGTACCTCTTGATTCACCGCAAAAGTTAAACCACCCATTCCGATGTGATCTTGTAAGTTTTCACCAACTGGAGCATCTTTGATTAGTGGAATTTTATGCTTTGCCAATTCAGCCTTTGGACCGATGCCCGAAAGCATCAAGATCTGCGGTGAATTCACTGAACCAGCAGACACGATAACCTCTTTCGATGCACGAATGTAATGGAGTTTGCGATCTCGAACGAACTCAACACCAAATGCTCGCTTCGTTTTCGGGTCAATCATCAAGCGGGTCACATGCGAATGCATGGCAACGTGCAAATTCGGTCGCAAACGTGCCGGTCGTAAGAATGCTTTTGCAGAACTGCATCGACTTCCACGACGAACAGTTCCTTGGGCAATCATAAAGCCAGTTCCCTTTTCGCCATTCAAATCGGTGTTTTCATAGCCCATTTCGACACCACCTTGAACAAAAGCCGCTGCTAATGGAGTGTGGAATGGAGCTTCGGAAACGGTCAAGTAACCACCGGTTGAATGATATGGGCTCGCTGCCAAATATGGATTCGTGTTGTCTTCCGATTTCTTGAAGTAATACAACGCTTCTTTATAACCCCATCCGGTGTTGCCCATCGCTTCCCAATTATCATAATCCTTTTTGTGTCCACGCAAGTAAATCATGTAATTTAGGACCTAAAACAGAGATGTTTAGAAGTAAAAATTCATGAGATATTGCTTGAATTGTTCGGAATTCCCAACGATTTAGAAAACGATTTCAATGAAATAAAAACTTACCGATGAGCCACCTATTACTTTGCCTCGCGGCCAATTGCAGCGACCACCGTTCATAGCTGAAATTGACATTTGTTGGAATGATGAAATTGGTAACTCTTTTTGTAAATTCACAATTTTCCAAGATTAAAAATTCCATTCCAAACGAATATTGATAAAGAAGGAAATAACATTGAAATGCAAATCAATTTTCTATACATACCTAAACATGCCGTTCCCTGTGGTTCCGTTTTATATTTCCAATCCAGCGGACTCAGTTGTAAAAAGCCAGCCATCAACGGTACATCAGACACCTACACAAAACACATTCGGTTAAATTGAATGAATGAATGTTGACATTTCCATTTAAACACAAAAAAATAGATAAGTCAAATACTTCAGTTTCATCGCCGCCTGCTTCTAACAATAACACATTCCAATTTTCCACCTCTGTCAATCGATTTGCCACGACAGCTCCTGATGATCCACCACCTACTATGATGAAGTCATATTCGTCGAGCAAATGCTCCGTGGGAATGTCAATTGGTCGTGACTCCGGTGACATTATCTCTTCGTATTGATAGTATGCAACGGCAGCCACCAACATGGGAATAAAATAACCCACACTATTTGCTGCTGTGATAGCACCGCCAATCGCATTTGCAGCTCCAACTATGGCACTCATTTTAAACGGGCTTCAATTCACACTGCTTTTTTCTTTCAATTTTTCCTTCGTCTTTTCAAAAACTTTGCGCTATTCAATAGGAAAATCTGTCACTGCTTGTAACCATCCGACTAGCACATTTCTGTTTTGCTCGAATTTGTAAGGTTTATTTTTTTTCGTTCACCTGAAAGTATGCACAAAGAATAACACGTCTAAATATTATTACGGAAAAGTATTTTTGGAAAAACACTAATGCATGAAGCATAGGCAATGAAAATGGGGCACAATATTGATTTTCCAATTGAAAAAATTATTTTTTTCATTGACAAACTCGAGAGAGAAAAACAAACTCTGGAATGAATGAATCAATGAAGAGGCGTCCGTTTACCTGTACAATCAATTAAAGACTGAGTGTACGATGCGATGGAAACCGTTAAAAAATCAAGTTCAAAGCCAACCAGTTACTCTGGCAAACTACGATCGATGGTTGTATACGTATGGTATTACTTCTTTTTTTTGTGGTGGTATGAAATGGATGCACAGCCTGTTACTAATGCCTGCATAACTTTATTTACGGTTTATTTCTCAGTTCTTCTCAAACAACAACAACATCGACAAAAAAATAACTAAACTGGTACAAGCTTAGCTGGATGACTTCGGTGAAATGAATGGTAAAAAGACAAACAAAAACCGGTGGAAAGAGAATGAAAATGGATGCTACGTGTGTGTATATTGATTGCTTTCAACGTCATAAACACATTCTCAAAATAATATGAACTGATTCGTACGTATTTGCGTTTGCTGCGCTCGAAACTCGTTCAAAGCAATTTTGTAACAGCCACACACAAACAACCGCACACATGTGGCTGCAGGTGAACACGAAACCAACGAAAGAAAAAAACCAGATCTGGCGTATTCATCATCATCACGGTTATTTAATGAATGCACCGGGATTTTGAATTTCGGTTTAGACTTTTTGAATTTCCGCATTTATTCTAGTTCATTGAAACGATTTTGTCGCATTTACCATCTGCTCCGCCGCAGAGTGCAGCCTCTTATGTAAGCACCACATATTGACGGTGATTTCCAATTGACGTTAATTTCAACGCCAGTATTTTGCCACTGGTCGAATTAAATTTTCCTATCAAATATTGCTTGCTCGAAATGTGGCATTTGCGGCTGAGTTAATTGAACCGAATTGGCCTTTTTCACCTTTCTTTTGGATTGTTTGAAGTGGTTTTCAATGGAATCATCCGATTCTTATGAACAAGGACATTTAAATCATTCAATCGATGGAACAATTATAATTCACTCGAAACTATCGGTGAAACACAAAAAGACTTTCAAAAATGCTCTTAAAAATGATAACAATGGCAAAAATCATGGGCAATCTGATCTTCCAAATTGAAATCGAATTCAATTTAAACATAAAAAGTGCTCAGTACATGAAACTGGTGAATGGTGATGTTGCATTTATCACGTACGCCATTGAAAAGTGAAATTTTCGATACAAATTATTTTTTTTTCGTTTACGGAGGAAAACTCTTTGGTTCGATGTTTTTTTATATTGTTAAACGTACACGTTTTCTTTTTGTATTCTTCGCATATTGTGTCTAATCGATTGGATTTTGAAGTAGAAAAAAATACAATAAAAAAATGATATTGATGGGCACTGGCATATCAAATGGAACAAATGGATGAATCAATAAAAAGGGAAAAGGCAATTGGCCATTTAGTTTCAGAGTGTGATTGAGAAATTTCGCTGTTGGCAATAGCATTGACCATTTACCGTATATTGTCACCGTTCATTTGCGGTGTGCATGATCCAATATTGCGCGCATCAAATTGCACAGTAAAGCGAATGCGGTTGAAAGAAGAGAGAAAAAAAAACGCGCGCGCGAATTGTTTATCGAATCATTCATAATAATCCACATGCTGCAAATCAATTTAATCAATATTTATGTAGTGTAATCGCAATAGGCATAAACATTGATTACAAATTTCCAATAACCATATTGCTTTCGGTGAAATGATTTACATTTACCAAACAGAAATTATGCCAAACATTTAGCTTAATTGTGATTCAAATGTTTCATGGAATAAGCCAAGCTCAATGTTCATAGACGCAAACACATTTAGTTGGCCCAAATCAATTGCAGGTGGATCATTTATGAATTCACAAATCGAATTAGATCGTTTACAACATTTTCACCATCGATTAAAACGTGCACCATCGCAGAAGCAATTGATAATATTTTTTTTATTGAATCCATTCGATTAGATAATGCGGTTTGAAATTGTATGAATAGAAACGTTTGTAATTTGGGTCATATAACAAATAGTTTGTAATTGACAACAAACGCAATAAAGGATAATTGTAGGGTGAATAATGTTTTTATCGATCCATGTCATGAATCCAGGAAGCGGCTGAATACTCATTGACACACAATCTAATCGTTTGCAAAGAGAAAGAGAAACTCAGCCTATATTTGAGCTGTAATTATTGGAGAAGAAGAGGATGTTGAACCCATAAATGGGTTATTATGAGCGCTTTGTGTCCACTGATTTTTATCGATTTTGTAATATCTCGGCAACATACACACAACAATGCAGCTCATTGGAATGAATGAGCATTTTCTGGAATGAAGAATTAAAAATCAGGTCGCGCGCGTGCATACCACCACATCAACATCGTTCTTTAATTGTTAGTCACTGTCACTGTCACAAGCAAACAACAGCGACAAAAGAAAACTTCTTCTTTTTGCCGTGTGTGTGTTGTTTGCATTATGAAACCGCAATAAACACCGTTACAAAAATACTCTTTTCCTGTTATTTTATGCCATCACCAAATCAGATTTTGTTTTGTTCATCAAGATTTCTCTTCTTTCGCCAAATTCAATGTTCTTGGGCATTACAATTTCATCGGTATCTTAATGAACCGGCTTTAATTTTATGAACGCCCATTTAAGCTGCTTCACGCCATTCATCAAAACTTCTAATCGATTTTAACGATGGCAAAGATTTCACATGCTCATACTTCAGAAAATTTACGATTCGAAGACGATGAACGTAGACATGTGTCAGAACAACAATGTCATATATTAAGAACAGATTGAGCTTAAGTGAAATGGTATGGTAAAAGAGGAGACGAAAACATATAAAAATGAAGCGAAGCTTCTTCGATGGTTCGGTTTTTTTTCTTCTTCTTTCGATGTGTGTACGTGTGTGCGATCACGTACGTCATGTGGCTCAAACACTGGAGCAACACATAAATTTTGAAATGGCTTACGGTAGTTTATCTGCTTGACTACACCGTTTTATAGGTCGTCGGTGCGGATTTTTATAGCAGCAGCACGAAAAATATTTCTTTAAAATTGCGTCGGCTTAACGAATAAAACAGCAATGACAATGACAACGACAACGACAACAGCCAACGAACGAGCTGACTTTAATCATCAACATACATAATACTTTCTTTATTTGATGTTTGGAATTATTGTCATTAGAGTGAAAACGAAGCACTGTCACACGAAAAGATTCTGTTCGGTTTGCTCTTATCGGTGTGCTGCTCGACTGGAATGACATTTTTTACCGTTTATGTGTGCTTATGCGTCTGTTTTTATTTATTGTTTTGTGTTAACGAATTTTTCATGGGATTTTTTAAAGATGGAAAGCGAATCATGCAGCAGCAGCAGCAGAAATAGAAAAAAAGAGAAATTCTCTGGTCAAATTTATCACTATGTTTTTGTGCTCGTTAACTTCGAGCTGAGAACGGACGATAAAGTGTCTTTACGACACGGTGTCGCTTGAGATTCACTTCAATTAGAATAATGCCGAAAGTGTTTCTGTTTTGTTTGTTGGTTTTCTGCGTTGGCCCAATTTAGAAACGGCAATTTCTAAGCGGAGAAAATAATTTATTGGAAGAAAAATTGTTCTGAATCTTTTTGCCATTCGCTTGAATCCGCATCGTTTTAAAGTCATGTACATATTGAATTTTCAGATGGTTACAACACAACCAACATTATCGAATTTCTTATTGCCGATGAAAAGTTGAAATCAGAAAAGTTTTCCAACCGTCGAAAAATGAGAAGCGAAAAGAAAAAGATAGAGAGGAATAGACGCAGAGAGAGAGAGAGAGAGAGAGAGCGAGAGCAAGAGAAAAAGTGACTCAAGTGCAGCGTTGCAGCTGTTTGCAGAATTGCGTGCGATAAAATAGCACGTACGCCGCAAAACCAGACAGCTCGATTCTCTCACTCTCTACCCACTCAAGTTTGATGCATGGTTTTTGATTGCGGTTTTCATCGCGCGCGCGTGCACACATTTCTCTGTTTTCTTTCTCAATGCACGGCTGTCGGCCGCTATTTACATGTTTCGCTGCTTCTTAGGTGATTTGTTGCAAATGTGTAAGTGTGTGAATGTGCATTGAGAGTAGTGCGCAGACCATGAATCAAACAGCACAATACAAGTCAATGGCGTACTTCTGCTGATATACACCATATATACCATGAGATCAATTTCTCTTTTAATCTTTCCAATGAAATGGGTCACCATTGGCATTACACAAAATATATACACCGATTTTGGCCGTGCACACAATTGATGTAAACAAAACAAATGTCTGGCATTGCAAGAATACCGAAATTAAACTTGAATCCATTTTTCTGCTGAGAGTGAGTGAATTTTCCAACCCAAAATATAATGGGTGTGCTTGGAAATACCGCCGAACGGAGCTCCAAGACCGTGGAGTATGCACTTTTCTTGAAATCAATATTACTTGCTTTGAAACACGATATTCAAATTAAACGGGCATCGCGGGCAAAAATCGTTGTTTGCTCCATTTCGGGGTGTATATGTAGCGTGTAATTTATGATACACAGCGCCAAAAGGTTAATCTAAACAAATTTTGCGGCAAATTGGCTCATATTTCATGGCAATGCAGAATGCAAATGAAAATTAAGTGAAAACATTCACTTTTTATTTCAATTGTTTGCTGATGGCGTGACTTCTTATCGTCATCGATGTCGTCGTATCTTTTTCCCTGAACAACCACGCTCAGCTCGTTATGCTTAAATAAATATCAATTAACACTTTTCACTTATGTGTCACGACTTCAACCATTGTTGGTTTCATTTCTGCTGTTTATTCTCTTTTCTCTCTATTTCTCGCTGTCGTCTTCAACACCACCAATCTATCGATAAACCAATTTGACGCGAACCGTTATTTCGTGATTTTTATATGGGTGAAATTCGATGATCGTTGAATTTTAATGAATGCAGATGAAAGAGGCTTTTTTGTTGTTTGTTTGGAATATTTCAATTGTTTATTATAAAAAGCGATTAAAATTACTTTTTTCTTCTTCTTCTTCTTCTTCTTCTTCTTCTTCGTAGCAAATTTTCAGCACAAAATACTTTGTGAATTGTTTTCAAACACAGACAAAAAAACTGTTTCAACTTATCGTTCGCAGAGCAGAATCAAAAAATTATTCGACTGTGATACACAGCGGTTGATCATCAACTGATTTCGTTTAAATATCAACAAACCTCTTTGTTTGCTTTGTGCAGCCATTCACAGTGTGTTTCTTGATCGTATTCGCGCTAGACAGCCGTTTAACAGGTTGTTCCACAAATAAACATAGCGGCACATACATGAGGATTATACAAAGTCGCTGGCCGCCGCTCGCGTACATAGTCGAATCTCTCTTTTTTCTCTCGCTCTTTTAACGTTCAACTGCACTGAAGAGAATGGTCGGCTTTCTTCGAGATCGCGCATCGCTCTTGTGTCCATTGAGAGATGCTGAAATAACTCCACGTATCTCTTCTGAGAATGAAATAAACACGTTTCTTTCACCGTATTTGCGGCTTCGCCAGATCATTGACTCAATGATCGATGGGATGCGATTACACAAATACCAATTTTCTTAATTATCAAATAGCTGCGATGGCGATTACATTTCCATCGATATATATAATGCTTGGATTTTTAACCTTGACACTCAATACCACTTTCGCGTGAAATGGGAACACACCAGGTGCGGTTCGATTGACTGGAAGCAATAACTTCTGTATGCTATTTTCATGAAATGGACTATTTTTAACGTGTCCGAAAATAATTCGAATTTTCGATTTTTTTCCATTTTTGAATGATATTTCTGAAATTACCCATTTATTACGAAATGAATTCGATTGCCAACCACAAATGTCAACCTGTCGAAAATGCAATCTGGTTTAATTTAGAAACTTTTTTCTATTGAATTCAATCAATATTTTTAGATAGTCTTGGGCCGAAAGCGACGAATAAATAAATATTTATAGTCAAATGTTATTTTCGATAGTTTCAACTGTTTGCACTGATAAATTCGCCAGAACGTAGGCAAATTTAAGTTTCAAAATAACTGAACACTCTTTCATGTATCTAATTCAACTTGTTTTTTTTTCATTCAGGTGGTTGCTGTGGATCAACACGAAAGCGAACGATTGTCGGAGGATGGGCATGGGCCTGGTGGTTGGTAACGGACGTTCAACGTCTTTCACTCGAAGTGATGACATTGAATCCGATGTGCGAGGGTGTGGAAACAGCACAAGGTGTCCCACTCACCGTTACCGGTGTGGCTCAATGCAAAATCATGAAGGTATGACCAATTCGAACGGTTTTGCCAATTCACATGACGAAACTGCTCTGCTGTTTACATATTTTGAGTGATTCATTCAGTCGTAAAACTGAAATCGCATCAATAAAATTATCCGAAATTCCATACACATCTTTTCGTTTGGCTTTGAATCGATTTCAATAATATTATATACGTACCTAGTTTTGTTGTTGTCCACATTTGAATAGTAGATCAGTTTGAATAACTCAATATTTGGGCATTTTATTGACGCGATTTCGGTTCATTGAATTCTGGAGACATGGAATTTTTCAATTTTATTTACATCCACTAGACAAATATTTCATTCAAATGATTAATGCCCATTTACTTCTTTTTATTTTCGACTTGATTTTGTGAGTTTTCTTCACATGTATTTTCTAGACGATCTAGATGAAATTGAAAAGCTCCTCAATCAACTCCCAATTTGAAAAAAAAAAAACAAAACAGATTTTATATTTTATCTGTCTGCCCCAATTTGATTTAGTGTTTTATGCCTGCCTAGAAACTGCTTGATCTGGATGGATATCGTTTATATATTTGCATCGTGTTCAAACATTTTAGTTCATTTCATTTCATTTTATTCATTTTTTTTCTTATTTCAGTGTTTTTTTCTCGGTTATTTTGGTTTATTCGCACTTGGAGATTATGATTTCTGGATGATTTTCTCGTTTTGATGTGTTTTGTGACAGTAAATTTATTATCGTTTTCGTTTTTGCCAACGTTTTCAGTCACATTGATGCATTCAATTTTGTTCTCTCTTGAGTTTGCTTCATCGAAAGTGTGTCATTTTTCCATTCCGACAAGAATTGAAGTTCAATACAATTATTGATTGTCAACTGGACGCATTCATTATATTCGAACATCGAAAAAATTGTTCGCAATGTGCTGCAAGGGACACCTGTCAAAAGCTACCGAAAATGATTTATTATTCATCGAAATCGTTCATGCATTTCATACTCATTTCTTTCGTCTTCTTCATCATCATCATCTTTTTACCGATTTTTTTTCTTTCAAAAAATTATTTTCTTCATTTCGATTAAAGCACAATTATTCCCATGTGTTTTGTTGTTCAGACAAAAAAAACTCATTTTCATTCACATCTATCACGAACAAAAAAAAGATTCTTGACCCAAAAACCGGTCAATTTTATCATCGTCTGTCTGTGTTATTTATTCAATAAAAAAGCAAACAAAGCGTGAGTAACACACAATCGCTGCAGTTTGGTAAATTTAAATACGGTTCGAACGAACCATAAACAAAATTCATTTATTTTCTTTTTCATTTTTATTTTCAGATTTTCTTTTAATTTTAACCATTTTTTCTTTCAAACAAAAAACAACAACAACGTTATCCTATAAAATCGAATAAGAAAAACCCAGTAGAAATAGTTAGTCCGCCCCTCGTGCCAAAAATTCACACATACTTGATTTGTTTTGTGACATATAACTAGTATACAATTCCATGCCAACTATCTTCCTTTTTCGTTTTTTGTTTCTATTCTTGCGTTTTTATTTCGAGTGCCATCACTAGAGTAGTTTAATCGTGCGTGATTTTTTTGATCCTTTATTTTTTGCGTGAATATTTTGAAACAAAACGAAAATATGCTACAATCTTTAGCATTTGGTGTGAATTTCTCTAAATAGATGTTTTTTCACATTTTTATTTTCCGTTCAAGTTCATTGTATTCGATGGCATGATTCGAAATCATCGCGATTGAATTTATTCTTCAGTTCATCCAATTTATCTATAAAATGATTATTTTTTCTTCGTGATTTAATATTGTATGCAGATTTCTTATGCTGTGACGAATCAATTTTGGCAACAAACACACACCAACATTCAATAACTCTCTTGAATTTCGATCGCAATAAATGCGTCCATCCGGAATAGCTGTTTCTCATCCCGAACGAATTTTTTGCGTTTTTCTTATTTCTTTTTTATAGATGATGAACGTGTATTATTTTCATCATCAGGCCGACGAACTGCTTGGTACAGCCAGTGAACAATTCTTGGGCAAATCGGTGAAGGAAATCAAGCAAACCATTTTACAAACGCTCGAGGGCCACTTGAGAGCCATTCTTGGTAAGTCTTTCTATGTTCAGTGCGTTTCTTCACTCTTTGGTTCGGTTGGTGTCTCAGCGGATATCAAAATCAAAGTTAATTCAATGAATGTTGATCAAGTTTTCGAGGCAAAAGTTTATTTTCGTCCACCGGAACTTTTATTGTTTGGATGATAGAAAAAGGAACACCGAAATCGTACTGCATACAAAAACATGTCATAAAAAAAACATGTCATTTATTATGTTTGTGCAAACAACGAACTTACTGACAATCTATGGGAAGTGTTTATGTCTCCTCCAAATGTGGAAGAAAAAAGAAACAGAAAAATCGCTTGCGCCAACGGCACGTTCCACATATCTTATGCATGAAGCATATACATATATAAATCGTGTCGACTGCATTTAATTCATATTGACATCATTTTGGTTGAATCAAACGCTGCTGGTGTGGAATACCAAATCGGTTGATCTGTCAATTCTACTGTTGAATGCATGTCGTTTTCTGTTTACTCTGCGTCGTTTTGTTGTTTTTTGCTCTCTCTCTCTCTCTTCCTCTTTCTCTCCCTCTCTGTTCGTCATTCCCAATGAAGTGGACTCGTTTCGGTGTCACGATAAGAATTTTGATGTGTGCCCAAACCAATCCATCATATGATTTGTTTCATTACGGATTAAATGGGATATAGTTCTGGTACGCTTTTGCTATGTCATCCGGGTTTTGAAAAGACGTTTTTTCTGTAGTACTGCAGTCTAAATTGTGCAAACAGTACGTCACATTGGAAATGAATGCATTCGGAAGGAGAGAGAAAAAATCTTTTGAAACAATAATGGAAAGCATTAGCGTGCAGCTAGATTTTTGTAGGCCAAGTATCTTAGCTATTTTTTCTATATAATTTTCAGTGAACAAAGAAACACATTCACATTATTCCAATGGAGAGAAAAAACTGCAATAGCAACACTTTTTTTCCAAGCCTCTTCTTCATCGCATTCCTTATGCTGGCACAATGTGTGCCTTTGTTTCCCATTCTCTTTATATTGTGCCATTGCATTTTTGTTTCATTTATTTTTCCATCTTCTTTCCGTAATAATGAGCGTGCATTCTAGTGCGGAATTCAATAAATGTTCGCTTCAGTATCTATGGCGTTGGTGCTGTTATAAACTTTTCATGTTTGCACATTTTAAAAATGGGTTTTACTTGTTGAGCTAAACCATTTCGCTGTAATTTTCAAACCAAATTTCACTGTATGTGGAGTTTTTATTAATCCTTTGCACACCATGCCATCATGCTGTCATGCTGGCTGTTGTGAGGGCATGGAACGAAAGAAAAAGAAACATTAAAAAAAAGAAAATGAATGGAATTGTGTGCGAGCATTTCCAGTCAGTGCTATTTCAATTGTTGTTCCGACTATCGTTAGTTCCATTATAATTCAAACAAATGGAAGAAACGAAGAAGAAAAACAAGACCGCAGATCTTTGCTTCGCTCCGCTCTGCGTTCTTGAGTTTTTAATTACTTAATCTATTTTGTTGATTCACAACAAACTATTTTTTGGCGCACTACATGAAATGTATTTCATCAAAGTAACTTTGAAGTAATATATTTATTTGCAAAATGAATTACAAGATCTTGGTTTTATTTCTTTTTTTTGAAATATACTGCCCTTGGTTTAAATTAAATAAATAATATGAGCATAGAATCTAAAGTCACTTTAATTCTGGTCAAGACTCAGAAAATATTATACAGAAAATTAATGTAATTTTCAAACAATATTTGATAATAAAAATTTGATTGGCGCTTTGGGATATTATGCACTTATTTGTCGTTACTGCCACTGTTTTAAATTAAATAAAAAATATGAGCATAAAATTCAAATTCACCATAATTTGTTTCAACACTCAAAAAGTATCTAGGGGAAAAAAAGCAGATTAGTAGCTCTACATTGCATGTAGTGCTAAAAAAGCGAAGCGAAAAAAACGACAAATCTCGATATGCACAGCTGATATTTCATAAGTAAGGGTCTCAGATGAGAAAATCGCTAATCGGGGAAGTTTTCGGGGGATTCAATCGAAAATCTGGGAATTTGAAAAAAATGATTTTTTCATTGTATTTTGCCTTTTGTTTGCTGTGACCTGTGCTTTGCTCTATATCTAATGTGTATTGGGATTGGGAACGCGCGACAGTATTTCGATGTAAATAAATACTTGAAAAAATATACACACAGAAGTGCTAATAATACCTGAAAAAAATTATTTGCGCTGTAATATTTTTTTCGGGGATTTTGGATTTTAGACCGGGATGTTCATTTTCGGCTAAATTCCCGGATTACACCCACCCTCCCCATCTGAGGAGATTATCATTCTCCTTGCCATTTAACTTGTGCACGATATGTTGAAGCATTCGTTCGATGTCTGTACGTATGCACTCTCGCTTACCCGTACACACACGTCTCTGTCTCCCTCTGTCGCGTGTACATTACTTTTTCATTCTTACGGCGACCGCACACGAATTCTGGCGTCTGTTGCTGTATAAAGCGGTTTGCCATCATTCGTTCGTTCAGTTGGAAAAATAACGTGCACAGAAACGGTTGCTCTCTTTTACAAGTCCAACCCATCAGTCCAAAACAAAGAGACGATAATACATAACATCGAAAACGTAAATTTCAAATCGAATTTTCGTCCAATGAAAATTTGTTTTGCTTTTTCCAGTTATCGATAAAAACGAAAATAGTCATAAACGTGAGATTTGTTCAAGAGAAAATTGATTTATACCCAGCAGATTGTTATTGATGATTGTTACTCGTGTACACCTATAAAATAGCAATAATTCAAGTGCATTAAATCAAGTTATAAATTTGAATAAACGTCGAACGTTGGTGTTGTTGTGAAAAAAAAAAGAAAACGAAACCATTTTCACCGGGTCATTTCAAGTGAACGTCACGCCATTTTACTTTCTATTGTTGTTCGAGTGAAACAAAATTGAGTCGTTAGTTTGAGTGCGTGATTTTGGCCAATTTTTCTTTGAGCCACCATTATTTTTTCTTAATCGTCATCTTGCACTCACTTTTCTTTTTGTTATCATTTTGAATCAGTGTGCATTCATTGAGCGAAGAGAGTCAGATATGGAAATAAAACCGAAATAAATTCGGCGTCTCCAGCTCACTTATCGTCCACAATTCATTCTTGGTTTATGGTGTTAAAAACAGTCCACAATTTTCACACGTCTGTTTAACAACTCACTGTGACACACCACAAATCACAAATTCAATTAATAACCGCATTTATTAATTTGACCTTGTCAACGTTCGCATACGGCAAACGACGTTGAAAGTGACTTTTCAAATGGAATCGTTAATTGTCACCATGTAGCTTGTTGATTGTCATTTGCCCTATTCTGATGACGGAAGAGCCGAACAACTGCCTGCTCTGGACTGGTGTTTACTTTGCTCGTTGCGCGGAGTGAACACTTGAACATTAACATTACGGCAGCTGACAATTTGCACTTTAGCAAACACAGCGAGGCACGTCATTTGATGATATTCAAACAGTGAGAGCGAACGAACAAACGAGAACAAAAAAAACATGTAAATTCGCTGAATAACAGCCGTTTAATTAGAATGTAAATTAAAGTGACGTAAACTGCGGCGATTTTATTGCCTTGTCTATTGTACGGTTTCATTATCAGCACGTGCTATACGTGCATATAGAATTATATCATACGGCAATTATAATTATGATGCTGAGCTTGAATTAACGCGAACGATTTCATTAACTCTTCCTATACGTTAGTATAGGGTCGTTCCAAGAAATTCTTGTATGGAATTGCTGTGTGTCAGATTAAAAATTGCGTTCCGCATTGTCATGACAGTAATTTGATTTTGATTGCCTTCATTTTGTCTGCTTTCAACCAGATTCAAAAAATTCCGTTTTTATTTGCCAATTCCGTCGATGCTATTCACATTCTCGGTTGTGTCTTAAGTCATTCAGCTCTAATTCCGTTGGAAATTCGGCTCATAGCCTATTTCAGTAATGAAATACGCAAGTTTTTATACGTTTTCAGTAGCGTTTATTTCGAAATAGCTCAATAAGACTGCTACTCTCTCCATTGGAAATTGAAATGAGTCTTTCGGATTTTGTTTGTATTAATTCTTTCGTTCGGCACGATCTTTCTAATCATTTCGATAACTTTTTGTCTATTTTTAATTCAATGTTGCTAGCTATGCCGTCTCTGTACCATTTTAACAATTATCTATTGCATAAAGTCTGTTTAAGACACGTCCAATGAGAGATGTTGGAACAAACAATAATCTTGCCTTCAACGTAATTCGATTCGCTTCGAAACAGCTGCAGAACAAGCTCAGTAGGAATTTTCTTTTGAATGAAAAAATGTCACACTAGCAAATAACATAATGGAAAGTTTAGTCTCGTGCCTTATCTCGTTTCACACTTCATAGCCAATATCCAATTTGGTGTGTGTACTAAATTGAAGACTTTGCCAATGAGCCCAGAGTCAATTCCAATTTTGTTTGCAGTGCAGCTTATGAGCAAACATTCGATCGATATTCTTAGGTCATGTGTTGTAAAATGACGACGCGGTAGATAAGAAAAGACCCGTTTACAAAACGGCCGCACCGCTGCTAAATTGATTTCTTCTTCAAAGTAATTTATGCGCTCTACTTTCTTAAGAATCACACCGAAATAGGGATCGAAGTACAGGAATTGCAAATAATCCACTTTACATTCTCGATGAACTCTGCTATCCAATTACGTAATTTTCGATTCAACTTTCACTATAGCTCTAGCGGTAGTTTGTCGTGTGGCCGGGCACTTGTGGATGAAATGTGGTTTTCAACGCAACTAAAAATGGATCCAGATCTATTATTTATTCATTTACATGTTTAAGCTAAATTCAACCATCAAATTGTAAACCACTTGTTATTAAGTCGCATGTTTCCGAACACACATACACACACCCATAAAAGAGCCAAACACAACTTGGATACCAGAAGAAAAAAAATGTGTGTGTATTCTTTTCCAAATGGAGCGATTTTTCAATGCATCATGATTTATTTAGTATGCAATCGATATGTAATAACTTGTCAGACATAAACCCATTCATGTTGAGTAGCTGCCCTCTCTCAAGTGCAATTCACTTTGATTGCGCTCTAGTTTTCCATCGAAACCGGTTCAACACTACCGTTGAAACAAAAAAAAAACAGGGAGATTTTGAAATTGAAAAGCCTCCGTCACTCTGGTAATTATATGGTGATTGTGCAAAGACAATTTTTAGTCTCATCACGCCACATTATTTCTCATTATGGCAATTAGTATTGGTGGTGCTTCCACGGAGTCGTTTGCATCTGGTTCCATTTAATGAGATACACAGTACTTTGCTGTCGAAGTTACGCAACGTTGAATGTTGCTCGTGCTCGGGTTTAGTGGCTTTTCCAGCATTTTTGTGTGCCTTTGAGCTCTTCCTTCATTCTGGTTGAAAGTTGAGGTTCTTGTAAAGTTTTTTTTTTCAGCAAAAAAACCAATCATGGTGATTTCCCTAGATAAAATGCATAGTGATTAAATATGCCTGAAAAATGCGGTGGTTTTCTACTTCGATGGCTTGGTTCTACCTTTTGATGTTGAATTTATCAAAAAAAAACCGCAAGTTCAACACAGCATCGCAAACATTTTTCGCACTTTTTGCCTGTCTCATGAATCAAACAAAACCAAAGCGTCACTCAAAATAGTACAGTGTGCTTACTTGATTTGTATTTAAATTAAAAACTGTGTCAAGTTTCCCATGGACGCAACAATCTTGAACAAAAAGAAACTTCAAGCACTTTTATTTGTTCGATATTGCCGTCGATGAACTCAAAGCCGTGAGTCGTTTACCGAAGTAACAAGACTCCGTGTTGTCTACTGAGCCGCATACGTGGATCGTAAACACATAGAAAGTCAAACAATGCCGCCCATTTCGTTTACATCTGTACAACATTGCGACTTGCTTGTAACAAATGTATTCGAATTTCTAATGGATCTGAAGCATTTTCCACGAGGTCAATATATGACAAATTTACCGAAAATATCCAAAGTAAAGCAATTTACCGAAAATGTTTGAAGTAAAACATGACTGTCGGCACGTACACGTATACCTCCGCAAGCAATACCTTCGGCAGCAGCTCGAACTTCGAGCGAACGAAGAAAATTACACTTACGTCAATTTAATTTTCTTTAACCCGTGTCGTCAAGTTGATACAGGTTTTTTTTTCTCTGGCGTGTGTTTAACCAACGGTAACTTTGACGAATCTGTGACATTTCGTTGGAATTCAAAGTTGTTGGATATTAATTATTAGTTACGATGCGGCCGAATATTGTAATCATCTACATTCATTTTTTTCTGTTTTGACAACATTTCTTCGTGCGGTACACAAATAAATTGATGTTCAAATTCCGACGAATTTGTTCTAAAAATATGCTCACGACATTTGGAAAAAAAATGTTTTGAATAAGTTAGAACATTCTCAAACTTTGGGATTGGCCAACCTACCGTTATTCTTAAATAAGAGTATTTTAAAAAAAGTTCTCCAGCAAACAATGGCCAAGCTACAGACAAACACGGGCCAACGGCAAATTATTAATTCATATTTATCCCAAGAAATAAAAAAGTAAATATAGATCCATCGATTCCTGGGAATTGCGTCGAAAATAAATGAAATATTCAAAATAACACTCGGATCGATGTAAACAAATTAAGCACCTACTGTGAATTTCATAACGATTTTAATTTCGCCGCTAATTGTGGATATCGATACTCAAATCATTTCATAATTGATTGCCTCTTTCATGACGCCAATTTGAATTTTCGACTCATCAAAATTTGATTTTTATCCAATCCAATCCCATTCTACCAAATATCGTGCGTCACAAACACACTCACACAGACACGCTCTACAGAACATCAATAAAAACAACACAAAAAATATTGACATTCACGAAACATCATCAATTAATAATCAATTAGAACTAACAATAGCCCATAACATTCTTCTTCTGAAAATGTCCAAAATTGATTGAACTGAAACAATCGATTTTTTTTCTCTCTTATCCAAAAAAAATTAGACAAAGCAAATTTTGTGCGTATAATTGCGATCATTTACTTTCGTTCGAGTCAACGACAGTCACACGAACAAAAAAAGAAGAAAAAGAGCGAAAGCAAAGACGCGACGTGAGAATTGAAGAAAAATAAACATAAACGCGAAAAGAAACCGCCGCACGGTGATTAAAAAGTAAGAAAGTAAAACCGAAAGAAATACAAATAGGGAACAATGGTTCTACTGTGGATGGGAACAATTAAATTGTCTTTAATTGTCGGGTTGACATACGCCGTCGTAAAAAGGTAATTATTAGCTGCAGAAAATACTGGTTTCAGTGACCGTAGTCATCGTATCAGGTGAAAACATAAATGTCACGAGTCAAGTTTAATAAATTGTTTATAATAAAGTTTAATAATAAATTCTTGGCCATTGTTGAAACTGCTATTTTTCCCAACACTTGATGTCCGTGCATCGCTAGAAATATTGCCAATTCATTGCAACAAAAACTATTGATGGCGCTCCAATCTTCATGACTATTTCATTTTTGATTGTGAGACACTCCGCCCAAGGTCAAATTCGTTAAAAAATCATGAGCTGATTCTATCTTGCTGTTTTTTCGCCCTAAAGCGCACAACAATGTCAGTACACGAGACAGTCAGAGGTTATTTCATTCATATTTTATGTGGAAAAACCATACGCACCGAAACAAAAACAAACACCCAGTTCGTTCACCGCTGCACGCGGTACATGGCAAGCGTTGGCGAATGTATCAGCGTAATTAGGACCTTTTCGATAAACATGTTACACAGGTAACGCACGCTCTGCGTCAATTTTAATGCAAATGCCATTATCGCAACTGACATTGGACGCGGCTGTTGGTCCGCATTGTTTTATTCATATCAAATCGGCATTGTCATTCAACTTATTTCTGTACATTGAATATCTCTTTAAAGTTTGATTAGCTGTTTTGTGCACACGGCGCACACATTTTCTAATATGAAATGCTCACATAAAAAAAACGGTGCGTTACCACAACAAACCAAATCATACTCGTCGAACTGAAAATTAGTCAATGAAATTGAGCACATATAATGCTCATACGCTGAGTAAGCTGAGTCAGTATCAGTAAGAAACCCTTCGAAAAATAATTCATAAAGCCATTCATATGTGTGGCGTTAATCTTATCCAATGCCAAACGTCGAAAACAAACATTCACCTTTATGGAATGAGAAAATACTTTGAAAATGTGCAATTTTAATGGGATTACCGCATGTGTGTTTGTGGAAATCCCTTTGAATATTACATCGAGATATCCCCGAATTTACTTTTATTTGGTGAACTAATCAACGTTATTTTGTTACTTTTTTCATTCTCGATCAACAGGAACGCTTACAGTCGAAGAGGTTTACAAAGACCGCGACCAATTCGCTGCATTGGTGCGCGAGGTTGCAGCTCCTGATGTCGGACGCATGGGCATCGAGATTCTATCCTTTACAATCAAAGATGTTTACGATGACGTTCAGTATTTGGCATCACTTGGCAAAGCACAAACGGCCAGTGTCAAGCGAGATGCTGACACTGGTGTTGCTGAAGCCAATCGGTGAGTTTTTCTTTCATCATTTGTTCTTTTATTGAGTTTTTTTTTACGAAATAATTCAATTGGAAAACCGGAATATGTCATTTCGCAAATTAAAATTCATTTTTTAATCAATTTCTTCTAATTTTCTTCAACAACAAAAAAAAAACAGTGATGCTGGCATTCGTGAAGCCGAATGCGAAAAGGGTGCCATGGATGTAAAATATTCAACCGACACCAAGATTGAGGATAATTCTCGAATGTACAAATTGCAGAAAGCACATTTCGATCAAGAAATCAACACTGCGGTAAGTCTGCGAGCATTTATTTCCACCTTTAAAAAATTCGACATGTTTATCTTCTCTTTTATCGAGAACATTTTAATTAAAACCAAAATTCCATTCAATACAGAAAGCCGAATCGCAATTAGCCTACGAGCTGCAAGCAGCGAAAATCCGACAGAAAATCCGAAATGAAGAGATCCAAATTGATATTGTCGAGCGTCGCAAGCAAATCGAAATCGAATCGCAAGAAGTTGAGCGCAAAGAGCGTGAACTTCAAGCAACAGTAAAATTGCCGGCCGATGCTGAGAACTATCGTGTCCAACAGATAGCCGAGGGTAAACGTACACAGACGATTGAATCGGCAAAGGCCGAAGCAGAGCGCATCAAGAAGCTCGGTTTGGCTGAGGCCACCGCTATCGAAATGGTTGGTAAAGCTGAAGCCGAAAAAATGCGCATGAAGGCCACCGTTTACAAGCAATATGGAGACGCTGCCATCATGAGCATCGTATTGGAATCACTACCAAAGGTAATAACATTCGTTTTGATTGAAAGACAAAGCGGTTTTCATTTTTTGATGCCATTTTGAAACCATTGACTAATCAATCAAACCTTCGCTTTATGTAGATTGCCGCTGAAATAGCCGCTCCATTGGCCAAGACAGAGGAAATTGTGTTGATTGGAGGCAGTGATCAATGTACTGGTGACGTAGCTCGACTTGTGGGCCAACTACCGCCGGCGATCGGAGCGCTAACGGGTGTCGATTTGTCCAAAGTTTTAGGTAAACTGCCCGGCGCCAAAGTTAACTAATTGACGATGCATTCTTCAAACGAACCCTAGATTGCGACAAATTCTAAATCAATCAAAACAGAAAAAAAGAAACAAAACCGAATGCAGAGAAACCAAATCACGATTGAAATGCCAATAAAACCACTAACAAATCCAGCGATACAACTCGAAACGCTCGATATCTTAGCAGTTGTGTTGGCATCATGAGAAACATTAAGAAATTAAGAACAAAAAAAAAATAAGATAATTGTTAAGTTATGAAAAAAAGGAACAGCAGTAATGTCTTTTGTTTTTCTACATATTTTTCCTCTTCTTTTTGTCAAAATATTATTGAAATGAATAACAGATTAGATGGTATAGGATGCATAAGCTGAAATATTGCATATTTTTGCATATTTTAAACGAAATATTAATTGTAATCAGTAAAACGTTTTCAAAATGGCAAATCCATGCCGATTTTGAGCAATTCAAACTCATGTGGATTCACGAATTTCACTTCTACATTTTCGAGCTTTAACACATGCGCTACAATAGCTTTTACTGAGCCATTTTTTTTTCTTTGCAGATAGCATTTTTGTCTTGAAAAAATAACTTTTTTTTTTCTTTTTTCCACGTTTTTTTTTATTATTGTAAATTTTTTGGTGATTGTCGCAAGCACATTGAACTAAAATAAAAGTTGAAACGTATTCAGTTCGTCCAGATTAGCGATTTTTTCGAAATGGTAAAATCCAAATAAATGAAAAAAAGAATAAAATAAACATTCCTGATTATTCAAAATGTCTACCTCAATGTAACACAAATAATATATCTTGACAATTTGTATCATTTGAAACAAGAAACATTCAATGAAATAGTTCTCTTCACTGGCCGATCATATCCATCATCTCTAAGAATTTTTGCTAACGTAGCTTTTTTTTCTCGTTGCGTATTTTTTGTATATTAATACAACGTCTCTGTCAAACTGATTTTAATCAATAATTTCAAAACAATCTTAATATTTCAAAAGCCTTTTTCGATTAATTTTTTTTTTAAATCAAATGCCATATTTTATTCAATTGACTTTAAATCAGTTTCGTTCGACTCACACTGCCATTTTGAATAAAATGTTTTGAAGATTTGAAAGAACAACGACACCGGCGATGGTGGTAATGAAAAAGTCTCGACTCGACCAAAAAATAGTACTTCCATCCGTGAATAAATAGAATAGTAACAGGAGCATAACAGAATAGAAATCGCTTAATAAGATGTGACTCATTACTAGTTGCACAATAGAATTTTGCTTTTTTTGTGAGACTTTTTTCTTTGTCATTGAAATTGACGTCACTTTTGAATTTAAAATACACATCTTCAATCTAATCAGAATTGGCCACAAATGTTCGGAAATAAATGTGTTCTAACACTAGCAGTAAATTGCGGTCCCACCAAAGAAAAAATAACTTGAGAACAAAGAACAATTTCAAAAATGGGAATAGATGTTTAGAAAAAAAATGAAAAATTCTTAAACTGCCTTAAAAATGTAAACCTTTTAGGAAAAAAAGTCCTAAGAAATTAACTAAGAAATTAACAATAGTTTCTTTCGTTCGATTTGAAAAAAAGTAACATTAAAATTTTTTCCTTCACTTTCAATCGTTTGATGATAATCCATAATAATCGTAGTTACGTGTGAAGAAATATTTTTCCATAAAATAAAATTGTGAAGAAAAAAAATCGTCGAAAATTGTCATGATATCAGAACAGCATCAAATAATTATTTGTCATAGAATTATGTATGGACTAATTAATTGCTTTTGTAGTGACTGTTTGAACAAAACAAAAAAACCAGCACTTTTCTTTTCATTTTTCCAACATATTCTTTTTATCTTTTCAAAAATTCAATTTCAAGTGTTTTTCTAGTGCTAATTTTTTTTTCTTTGATTCAAATTCATTACTTTTAGCGTTTCGTGTCATTTAAACGATATTATTAGCTGTCCAATATGAACAAATGTGTAAATTAATGAGAATCTGAATAAAAATTTTAAACAATATTCAATGTCAAGCTGATGGATGACGTGTTTCATTTCAACTGAATTGCAATTAGAATTTCGTTGTGTTTCGCACGCCTCTCTAGTGGAGTCTCCACCATAGCGTTAAAGAACTTACCTATACTAGAGACCGTAAATGAAATTCCATTTCATCAATAATGTCAAGATCTTTTAAGTGATTGGTATATTCAATGACCATGCAATCATGAAGTGACTCGAGGTCTGTATCTACATCATTTGGTTCTGAAAGAACAAACGCATATTCCGAATGAAATGCAAACTCTTTGGAATATTTATCGCCGAAAATAATCTATATTTATAGCAGGAACGTATTTTGTAAGTACATTGTAAGGCGTTTTAAACGAGAGTCGATGCAACTCTTTGTAGATTCTTATTTTTCTAAACTTTGTTCAATGTTGCCATTCTGATGGCGTGTTTTGAGAACATTTTAACATAATTTTTGGCGCATTCCTTGTGCTGAGTTGAGGTATGTATTTGAGATTGATTTCATTCGTCGATTCGAACATATTTATTGTTCCAATTTAACTTCGATCATCGGATAGTGCGAGATTTTGATGCGATTGTGCGTAAAGTTTGCGCCACCATTTCTCTGAGTCGAAACTGTGAATAGAAATGAATAGTCAAAAGTGGGGAGAAAATGGTTTGTTTAAGGAAATAATAGATAAAGTATTTGTCTCACCGGTGGTTGCCTGGGAAATTGTGCGCACAACGGCTGGTGGCTGTAGTACTACCGCTGAAACTGGTACTGGTACTGGAACACAACATAATTATTCAAAATGTCAAATGTTATATAAAAAGTAGCCTACCTGGTGAAGCAGATGTGACAATTGATGTAACGGTGCGTTCAACCTGTTGAACTGTAATTTAAATGAAATTCGAATCAATTTCCCAAAAATTTTAATGGAGCACCCATTGTTTACTCAAATCGTTCACTCACCGGTGGCTTTTGTCTGTGTGACAGTAGTCTTGTGATGTTGAGAAGCACCCGATGAATACCATGTTGACGTGGTCGGTTGAACGACTTTCTTTTCGATGGTTTTTTGTTGAACAGCCATTCCATCTGATTTGCGACGTGTTGATGATCGTGTTGTCTTTGTATACAGTGATTCAGAAAATCGCATGACCTTTTTGCGGTGAGAAAAAGAGAAAAAAACCAAATTATGTAAATAGAATTGATTCTCATAAATTGATGTGCATCCTTATGGTCTACTTACCTTTTTCGGTGTACGTTTCCGATTGGTTGGTGGCTTTTCGACAAATCCATCTGAGTTGTACAATGACATGAGCTCTCTTGGGATTCTTTGCCCATTTGCACGTGTTTGATTTATGCTGGCCAATCTATTGGCGACCTTTTTCGGTTCAACTACACTAGTTTTCTTCGGTGTGATTTTGAGTGCTGATTTGTGTTGCGTTTGAGATGATCCTGGAACTTGCATTCTTGAAGCACTGGCTGTGGTTTTGCTCACCGATGGCCGTTCCGTGTCATTATATTCGCCGCGGTTGTACTTGTGCACCGCTCGCATGATGTTTGCGGTGGTTTGTGTGATTTCGGAATGTCGGGCTCTTTCGTTAAAATCAGCCAAAATGGTCCCAATTTTCTTTTCGACACGTTTTTCAGCCGCTTTCGATGGTTCCGATTTCTTGGCGATGATCAGATGTCCTCTGCTGTTCGTTTCGGAGCGCCATTGACTTGACGATGTCGAGCTAGCAGTGCGATGAGCTGTGCTGTGCTGAGAATGTGACACAGTTCGATGTGTTTCATGTGTTCGATGATGCGAACTTAACGATGGGTAGAACGATCTGCCTTGACCAGACATGGTTCAACGAAATAACCTGAAATTGAAACAAACAGAAAATTTTGTCATTTCCATTCAATATTCTATTGTTTTACTATGATTTCTATGGAAAAATCTTAGAAGCTCAGCGCGCCATCTGTTGAAAATCCGACAAAAATACTCGTTTAAACAAGCATTGGTTTGTATGTCCACTTCATATGTTCAACATATGAACAAGGAATGTATGTGGAGATGCTGCGTTAGATTAATTTAGCAAAAGGAATTTTTCTTCGTTCATTTATGCTCACCAAACAGAAATGAAGCAATGAATGCAACACATTTTCAACAAATTGATGCACTTTTCAAATGATATCTCTGTATGGCAACTGCCTCACATGAAATCGTTATATGGTCTATAGTTTGTACTTGATACGTTCTGCCTCATTTCATAGTAAATACCGATATCTTAATAAAAGTATTGAATTCCATCCGGAAGCTGAGTTCTTCTCAAGTAGAAATTTAGATGCATTCCCATCGGAAACGTTCAACATTCAATGTTGCTAGTAATCTAACAATATGTTACTTTGGCAATGTAAGTTAATTTCCAAGCGAACATTGTCTAGCACAATGTGAAAAAGGCAACAATTAACTAAAATGTTGCCATAACCTTGAGCAGCTCAAGCTGAGAGAGAGCGCGCGCGCGCCCGTTTACCGTGGCTGTAATGTAAATGTGTAAGGGTAATAAAAACGTAGCCAAAGTTTAAAGTGTGGTGTAAATGAGGCAAATAAACTGAGCAAATCGAATCGGAGTTGGTAACGAGCATAACAATTCAAAAAGATGTTTCACGTTTCAAAAAGTGGTCGAAAATGTCTATAAAAACTAAAGCTGGAGCCAAGCAGCCAATTCGAAAATGGCTGTAAATATTTTACGAGTGGCATGAGCCAGAGATGTTTCTTTCGATGTGTTACACAAAGTCATTTTTGTTACGCTTTGGAAATGGGTTAAAAGTTTTTCGCTTAATTACTATCGCTTTGAATATTAATGATAGATTGATGAGCAAATAGTTTGAAAACTACTAAATTCTCATTGCATATGATAATGTGATCTGGTTAAAAAGAAGAGAAAAAAATTGGTTGGAAAAAAAGCGGACTCATTTTTCATTGTAATTGCAAATGATGCGTTAGCACTTTTTGTTGGGCACATTCACGTTTGATGTGTAATATGAACTTGGAAACAAAGTCAAGAGATTCTCACTCGCCTCGCTCAAGTGATGTAATATGCATTTCATTTATTATAGATGAAAGGGATTCAGTGATTGAGGCAATTAGTTTAATTAAATTTTGAAATTGGGATCGTTGTTTCAATCGAACATATCCTTGTCAATTGAATGAAAAAAAAATTGCATAACTTTTGTGGCATGAGCTCAAGATGTATCTTGATGTGAATGGTCAATTTTGGCATGGGCTCAATGGCAATAGATGGAGTTAAATTGGGAGGAATTCTACTCTAGCGTTTATTGAACAAAATGCCGTCGGCATTACATTAGCAATCAAAATGCGTGAAGTGTGTATGTGTCAGAAGCGCAACTTAATCAACAAATCGAATTGAACAGCGCACTGAAGCCATCTAAACCAAAAACCAATCTCGAAGGCATGCAATCTAATTGGAGTTCAAGTATTGTGACAGATCATTTGATTTAATCAAAATTTCCACGCATCATTTTGAAACAATGTTATTATAACGCATTTAATCGATCAATTTGACCACTTTGTTTCGGACCGACACACATTGCCAGACTGTTGCCAATATCGCCATATTTCGTGTATTTATTTGCTTGGGATTTGTTGGTAAATTGTAATTTGCCAAAGAGCAATATTCTGAAATGTTTCTGTGCATATGAAATGAATCGTGATTTTGTTCTAATCTATTTGTCTCCTTTGAGACGTCTACACATAAACACAATCTTTTATGTGCATGTTGTGTGTCTGAACAAGAAGCAACAATGTGTCTTTTCAATTCGTTTGCTCACTCTGTTTCTTGTTCCAGAAACTTTATTAGACGACATGAGTTGTGTGTATGTGTCTATGTATCGTTTGCTGTGCCATAAATTCAAATAAAATGCAATACGAACAGAAATTCAGGCCAAACAAATACAGATCACATCAAGATTTTATCAGATATGTTTGGTTTTGATGTGCACTGGCATGTATAAACATATATTCACAAGCGTGTCATTCGAATGACATCTGAAGAAAATTGTTGAGCATAAACATAAATTTTATCACAACATGACGGCATGCGTCAATTATCCCAACTTTCAATCGAATGTTGAGCAACTTAGTTACCGAATGAATTTCGAATGCACACTTGATTCCAGCGCAAATGTTCAAATCACATGCACTTTAAATTCACATCTAATCACATAACCTAAAACTTTTGCTAACTTTCCCATTTCGCGATACAACCACCAACTAAATGCGTCATTTATTTTGTTAGACGAAAATGAAATTTATACTGGTTTAAATTTTAGCACAAGATCTAAATATTGCATTCGATCAACACGGCAGAGAAACACATTTTTGCATTTTCTTAAAAATTAAACGCACAGAAAAAAAAGAAAACAAAAGAAAAAAAAATGGCACTTACTTATTTTGTGTTCGTTGTTTTATTGTGCAGCACCGTTTCAACTGTGATTCATATCTGAAGCGGTATGAGGGATTAGTGAACGCCGGTGAATGGGTTTTCCTCTGTATTTGTGCACAATGCTTCGTTTTGTCGAGTTCGTGCGCGTTTGTGTGTCTGTATTGAAATCAGGTTCACATTGACAGCGTGTTTATAGTTAACGAAACCAAAACAAAATTCAAAACGTCAACAGCGGTGCGACAGAGAAAACACATCAATCGCATCGACGTTCCATTGGATTCGAATCGGTTGTCGTTGATTTTGTAAATGAGTATCAAATAATACGCTTTAATATTTAAAACAATAACAATAACAGAGCGCGAATGTATACAACGCAAGCATTTTTATGCGCTGAAATCATAAAATACAAACGGAGTCAGTGACAGTTTCGTTTTCGTTGTCATCGTCGTCATCGTCACACAAACAAAGACATACATTCAAACTGTATGAAACAAGAGCATCAAGCATGCGAGAGCTCTCTGTGTATTTGTTTTTTTTGCTATTATAATACCAATTTTTTTTCGATGGTACTTTGTACGTTGTGTTTGCTTAGATAAAATGCAACACAGAATGATTTCGATTGAACATGGCCCGTACTTGTTCCCTTGGTGACTTTTTGTTTTTGTGTGTGTGTGTGTGTGTGTGTGTGTGTATGTTTGCGCGAGCTCCAAACCATACTGCTCAAGTTACTCACACATCGTGACAATGTTTCGGTGAAGTTTGATGCGTTGAAACGCAAAGTTTTTCCGCATTAAAACTAGAGCACCCAGTTCAAATGTACAGTTTGTTAAGAAGTTGAGTTGCAACAGCAACGCTCAACGGGAATAATTTACGAGAGACAAAAATGAAAGTGAATGTTCATGTTTATTCCCGTCTCTTTTTTGTTTGTTTATTTAGCAAGACCATTCCGAGTGATTTCGATAAATCGTTGGCATTGATTTACGAGCCAATACTTTCAGAGCAAAGTAATTCTCTTTGGATGCATCCAGTTTTGGGTCCAGTGTATTTCAAAACTTAATTCTATGGGAGCCGGGAAATACACACACACACACACGATTCGATGTCAACATTCGTGTTGCGCCAACTTGATAACAAATGGTTCATACGATTGAACAAAATAACAAGTATTCTCAAATTGTTTATCGGATTTATTTCGAAATATGAAAAAAATCACATAATGAGATAAAATTGAAGAAATGACATAACTTTTGGTGTGTTTGTGTGTAAAAGTTTTTTTTTCAATTTCTTCCTCAAAAGTAAATCTTCGGTATGTTTCAGGGGATTTTTTTTCCTTTTTCTCTGTGGCTCTCTGTCTCCCTAGAAACATGCAGGCCGTTCGACATTTACTTGTTCAACTTTGGAAAAAGTTATTTTATGGTCGTCTTCAGTCTTCAATCTTCGAAGTAAGCAAGTTCGATGCGATTTGATTTAGATGTATGATACAGTCATGTATCTTTGCAACTTCTCTCTCTCTTCCTTCACTCATTCGCTGCTAGCAAACATTTTTATCGATGTTTCGAGCATTTTTTTTTCGTTTTTCGAATGGAAAATGTGAATTTCATGATGTAATGCGAAAAGTTTGCGCTAAAACTGAATATTCTGATGTGCAAACGAACAGTAACTTTATGACCGGTCGATAGATCGATGAACGCTCTTTAGAAATTGGTTCATTGAAATAATTTTGATGATGAAAGTTCCATGAAATCGAATGTAGTCTTTGAGTTTTTCGCCTATTTTACACGTTGTAGTTGAAACCGTGAGTACAGTTCGTAACGCTGAATAAGTGAACATAGAGAACATGAATTTGCTCCCACTGTAATGCATCCCTTTACGTTGTCTTTGTTATTCTAACAAACTTGTTTCAAAGAATCGATACACACTTCCGTACATGATTATGTATGTTCATCTTATGGCAAAAAGAACACTTTATTGAGATGCCGATGCTTCGATTGGAGCATTTGTATTGCCTTTAGAAAATCTTTGGATAAAGAAATGTTCGATTCAATTTAGAGCGCCTATTGAAGTTGGGATGTGCAGGAATATCGATATTATTCGTAAAATTTTTGACATTAGTTGCTGATTGCGATTTGTAATAACATAACTTACTCAATGTTGCCCTTCGTTCTCGGCCGAAATGTAAATAAACAATCGAGATAAATGGATTTTGCATCGAAATTTACATTGGTCTTGGATTCCATGATTTGAATTCCACTTCGATTGAAAATTCCAATTCAAGGATTCTATTAAATTCTGGAGAAATTTACAATTTAATTTTCATCGGACATAAAAATCACTGATTGAATGCGAAAAAAAAGTTTTATCTTTTAAAACAGACAATTTTTCTCGTTTAAATTTCAAATACGAGGAAAAACTGGCTAGCACCACACTTCATTCTGAAATCAGTTCACTTCATATAAATGATATGATAGCGACTCATTCATTTGAATGAATTGAATATTTAATGTGTAATTAGATGAGAGTGCCGAAAAAAAGTTGAATGTCAACCGTAATGAGGGTGACTTAGGTCGGGTGTTGTGAGTGAGAAAGATAAGCGCGTAGCCCTTTTATTTTATTCCATTGTTATAACTAATGATGATAATTGAGCGTATAATTTGTTCACTAATTTCACCCAGATATGTGTGTGTGTATGTGTATATATATGTGGGTGGGTGGTTGGCTGGTTACATGACTTCATTGCCCGAAAAAAAAGATGACGCATCACGATATCAGGCTGATTCTTTTTTGTTGATTTTTGTATCATTAAGACACATGGGAGAGATCTTGGGAGAGAAGAGAGGAGAAAAAATTGGTACAACATCGCCATAAAATGTCTGCTGTTGCAATCCCTGATTTGATTTTATGAATATGTTGATTTTAGTATCACAAGAAGGACACAATTTGAATATAGGCAACACAGCAACGGGTATACATAACATATGAATTTTGATAAAGGAATGAAGTTTTATGACATATTTTGTTTTCATCATTTGCCCCGCCTGCCATTGCAAAAGTTCAAGTATTTCAGCAAACCTTTTGGATGTGTGCGTTTGTGCCACCTGACAAGGTCGCCTACACGCACGAATTCTCTTGCTAACGGTATATATATATTTATATTCGTTGTAGGAGTGTGTGCTACTAGGGTTTTACATTCATCAACAAAATGGGCTCCCGTGTACGCAATTCGAATGAATTTTATGATGTTTTTGAGAGCCCAAATTTGGATCTTGCATCTTCTGATTCGGAATGATGATTTTCATCCTTCAAAAATGCTAATATCAACGGTCGAATCAGTTTGAACCAAGCATTTTCTATCCGATTAGAGACAGACACAAAAAGAAATGAATGCAATCTCATGTTTTCTTTTTTTTCTCCATATTTTCATTGATTTCATCGAATAAATTCATATTCATCTTGAACATCGTAGAAATATTCCGATGGTTTATTTATTTTTGGCCCAAGCTGAAATCGAATCGCAATTACTGAGATTCTCCGAAAAGAAAATATCGACATTTCATCGTAGTTAGTAAAATATACTGGATCGAAACGTATGGCTTCGTTCATTAATGCAATCCATTTTCCCACGACAATACATTTGCAGTGCAAAATCGCAAGAACAGACGCCGAATCGGGAGGTCTTCCAATTAAATCATTCATCAAGTTCAATGAATGTCGAAAGCATTGTGTTGTTTGCCAAGAGAGAATCACAGTTCGTTGTCCTTACCTTGTGTTAGTCTGATATTCTTTGATCATAGTTTCAAAAATGGAACATTGTTCACATGACAAAGCCTGCATGTAATTTTAGTTGAATTATTAGGCAACGCTAACTATGCTCCATCATCATTTAAGTTCAAAGTTTTAAGTATGCTGGAAACATTCCAATTCACGATTCCATGGAATATCAAGCCCGGAAATGTTCAACGAATTTTGTGGCAACGAATTTGGTTTAATAGTTTCGAAAACTTAATCTATCAGTAACAATTTCATTAGAAAATTACATCCGTTTGTGTACGCATGGTTTTGTGTGACACACCCGGTAAAATTTGATAAAAGAAAAGGAGCATTCAAACGAGATAATGTATAAAGATTTTATCAGTTGGTACCGTGGCAAAGTGTCGACGAAGATCAAGGCGTCCACAATGAAAACCGCGATTTTTTCTGGTTACATTTTATGACACCAATTATGAATACGGTAAAATATATAAACGATGGTGATTGCTTTCGGGAAATCAGCAGTTATTGTGACCGAAAACGGAATGAAAGTGATTTTTACGATTGGAATCTTAGTTGGAGCGTGTACACTGTTGACACTTGCTCAAAACAATCACAGTAATGAATCGAAGGTGATAAAATTTCTAGAATGCGGCCCATAAGCTATCGAGCATTCTGACCTCAAACGCGACAAATGCATTCAATGAATTTTTGGAATCACTCGAAGAAGACACCAGCATTGATGACATACTGAACGCTTTGGAAGAGGCTGAAAATGATGTGAATAGTTCAACGAATAACAGCCAGCATTGTTTTTGGGTCTAACTGCAATCACACTTTGAATAATAATACCATCTGTATTTCAAATTCAACTTAAACTAATTCAACGGGAGAATCACTTCAAAATCCACCGTTAATTAATTTGCTCATTTCAAACAACATCAGCAGCAGCTCAAGCAACAATTCGAATCATAGTTCAACACATTCTTCGGAACATGGCATTAGTAAAGTAGAATCAGGACTTAATATTACAAGTATTAATAACAGCATTTCAAACAGTACCAACAGCAAATCGAACAATATTAACAGCACAACAAATCATCCATTGGAACAACTTCTCAGCAATCTTGGCTTATTACCCGCCCCTTCAAACGCAAGAAATCCACTTGAACAATTCTTCAATAATCTACAACAAGCTCTAATACCTTCAAACAACTCCACAATACCGAAAACCATTGATGAATTTTATCGAAATTTCATCGCTGGAAAGTATCGCGTTGTTGACTTGATCAATCCAAACAGTTCCCTTAGACAAGGTGTAGACAAAATGATTTTGAGACGAGTTCGGGATAACATTCAAAAGTTTTTCGTTGGCTTTTTGAAGTAAAACAGTTACTTCGGCCTTGTTGCCATAATAACTGTTTGTATTTT